GAATCGTATCCGGGGTGGGTATGACATTCTGTGCGTGAGATCCGGTCTAGAACATTTTTTGGCAAAGACGGCGTGCTAGTTACGTTCACTTTACTTACTCTCAGAGCAGGGATTTCATTGACGACCCCTGGGATTAAGGTAATTATAGTGACCGTTCATTGACGTCAGCTTCAAATTATTGGAAGTTTGTTTGAATACTTTTCGAATGTTAATCCACTTAATTGAATCGTAAACATCAATGAAACCAAATAGCTTCCCTCGTCTCATTGTGTTCTATTGTCAGTAAGGGATTAACTACTGATCGCTAATTTGATACTTAACGACCAGTAATCCCAACACGGTGTCTGGCGCTTGTCACGTTTCCACAGCAGCAACAGTAAACACAACAGTGTCACGTTCGTTATGATGCCAAGAACGTTAGCGTGACATTATAAAGTGATCAGTGTCACTTTGCATTGGATATCAGACGAGAGGTATAAAAGAAGACTGGTAGTGGGGATAGCATCACTGTCCTCGGGTAACTGAACAAAGAGCTACATTTCTTTCTTGTAACCGGAAAATTTATACAACTTACCAACATGGAGATATGTGAATCTGGGCTGTGTCTCCTTGACAATGACCACTTAGAAAACACTACAAACACTTTCAACAGAGACAACGAAGGTAAGTTGATACTCAATGACATTACAAATACAATCGATAAAGGCAAATAAATGAACAAATAATATTCATTGATCCGTTTAATATACTATCAGGATCAGAGAATGTTATTCGTGTCTATGAAACTATTCAAATCTCTTTTAAATATATATAACACGCACATGAATCAACTCTTTATGACAAATGTATGTAACATTTTCAGATGCAAGATCGTCGGGCTATGAATCGTGTGACTCATTCACCCAGACCTCGTCACCACCTTCAACTCCATCCTCCAAAGTCAGAGCCTCATCTAGCGGCCACAAGGAGATAATGATGTACAGCAACATGGCCGACCTGTCAGAAAGTCTACAGTACATCACTAGTATGCCGGAGTTGTGTGACGTCACTTTTCTAGTTGGCAACCGGCAGCTTCCCATTCATGGAGTTAAAGCAATCCTGGCTACCAGGAGCAGGTAAATATCCCATACAACTGAAACACGTCAATGGTCTTTTATTCGGAAACTTTTAGAAGTAAACACCATGATAAATGTGTGTATTCTAAATTAAAGCACATGCAACAACATGATTATCTGGCAGTAAGGATTTAAGAAAGTAGCAATGCTTCAACACATACATTTCATCCCTGTCCTTTTATAATTATTCACACGTGCAGATGTGAGTTTCCTATGAGATCTGTAGATGAAAATATACATAGTTTCCCTTCATCTTTCCAGGGTTTTCTATCAGATGATCTTGCATCACCAGAGGAAGGTCACAGAGTCGGTGAAACCTAAATCTCGACTGAGGATGAGAGCCAAGTCGTCAGCTGTCAATCTGCACAGCAAACTCCAGATCCCAATCCCAGACTACGACCATGTTGTCTTTTCCAGTCTTCTTAACTTCTTACACTCCGGCCGAGTTCGAGTACAACTTGGAACAGTCACAGGTGAGCAGTCAAATGTGTGTGGAGGAAGAAAAAACTTTCTGTTTATGACATTCGATATTGAAGCGTTTACTCCTTTACTGTAATAAACTGTAATATCAACAGTGAATTATAATATGTTATTATGAATATAACATCCTCATATCAATGGCTGCTTCTTATTTGAACAGGTTTATTCTGTGCTGCCATAGAATTTGGACTGAAGGATCTGCAGAAAGCATGCTGGGACTTCTTAAAACGGTGTGAAGGTGAAGATCAGAAGAGGGCTTTGATGACGTCAACACAACACTACCTTAAGAAGAAGGGAGCTCAGAAAATCTTGTCCCAAGTGTGCAGGTTGTGATTATTTGAGGACCGTAATTGCTCTGGTTTCCTATAATACATCTCTTGGACACAGTCAAACTGTGGAACCATTAGTGCTTCAATATACATTTTCAACGACTGACCATTGGCTGGCATTCCGACGGCCCGGGCGAAGCTGATCAAAGTGGAAACTGATGTCACTTCCTATTGATTGTTAACTGACGCACAATACCAGAGATGGAGATCCCTGATTTTTCTTACACAAGCGAGAAAATCAGACAGCGAGTTGAACTTAATGCTCCTTTAAATAGTATGTCGGTTATTCTTCCGTGTGTCAGCTTAGTGAGAGACGAAAATTTGAATTGACGCAGAGGATATCTCTGAAAGGAATATGATCGGAACGAAGCTTCGACCAGAGTGTCCTGGCACGTCTAAGGGATGTAATTATGCATAGAGAACTATGGCGTAAATATTACTGTGTAACACTACTTAATATTGTAAGTCTCTTAGATTGTACATGTGCTATATATGTATTGTTATCCCTTTATGGGAGTTGTTCGTTTTGTTCTTGTTGTCAAATGCAAATAAAATTTAAATCAAATCATGATCCTGTGTTGTCTGCCTGATGTTCCATTTCAGGAAGACCTGATGTCAATATTGTCTAGTTATTCTATTACGTGTGACAATTTGACATTCTTCAGGAAAAGGAATATTTTTCTAATTCTTTAATGTTTTCCTAGAGTTTATTATCACATCTTGAAGCCACTACTTTATGATTGGCCATTACATGCCTACGTACCTGAAGGTAACTAGGGCCTTGTCTGTTCTGATAGCAAAAGGCTGGATTTAACATGATAAGCGCGCAGTAGAAAGAAAAATAGTAGAAATGAAGGAATAGCAGAGAAGTAAATGGATAGTTGTTGATGAGAAAGTGATGAATTTGATCAAATATGCTGCTTCTATCCCATTTGGACAGAACAAATATCTACATTTTACACATTGCAAGCATATAAAATACCGGCAAAAGATCATTTGGTCCAGCGCTGGAGATATTCTCTATTTTAAACAAAACCGCTGCAATAAATAGTACAGCATTATCATTCAACCGTATCTCATCTAACATGCGTCAACTTTTGTAACTGCATTACTCTGAACCTTCATTCCAGTTGTATCGTTTTTCTTACCACAAATCTGCAATTTCTCTCACCGTTCATCATTTGGAAATGATTAAATAAACATTTTCTATCAGTTCATTTTCCCGACATGCATGTATCTCATCCAATAACAGATATAAATCGAACACGCCAAGTTTTTGACTAAATGTAAACTATTTCCATACACAACATATTTAATTCAAATGCCAGAAAAGACATGTAAATCTGTCAAAAGACGGGGAAAAGAGGCAGTGAACATGATATCATGTTGGTAGACATGGAATGGTTTCAGAAGTGATGGAATTCGAATATGATTAGTAAACACAACATGGTGCCAGTAGTCACAGAGATGTTCCTTGTATCTGTTCATATAGAACAAGATATCCGTTATCATTAATTAATGCTGTACTTGGAAGATGTAGACTGATTAAAATACAGAATAACTGTGTTTGGTCCCCAAAAACTATCCGATGCCGATATTCAGTCACTTTTTAAGAATATTCTTTATCGCATACAGCAGTTGTTTTATGCACCCGACATGCTATGGAGAACAATCATATCATTATTATCTGTATTATTTGTCAATACCCTCAATAATATAATCACTGTACAATTCCAACCATGCACAATATTTTCCAATTGTTATGATTGAGCAATAACTGCAAATTAATAATTTCCGCTGAGTTTCTTCACACACTTTATTCAGTATATAAAGTATATGCTCTTTGTGTCAGACTTCAATACAAAGTGCATCTATGAAATGTAACTGTTGTTTGAACATAGAGAAAATATCCATTTCACAAGAACACAAATACATTTACAGTGTTAAACAGATTGTTATAGATTATAGGATATCGGGTGTATGATAACCTTATTAGGTTCTATAACATCGCCATCAACTCAAAAGCATGTGCATAGGGAAACTGTTGCACTGGATTTAATGATCTTAAACTTATCAATTGAAATAGACAAGTTGATCATCCACACTATCTTCTTATCAATTACCAGTTGTTTTAGTTAACTACGGAAACAAACTCACTTGTGTATGTAATGAGATATTTGGTAAGAAAACAAGCACGTTTCTTACCATATTGATTTCTTACTTCTTCAATAAATACGGATTAAACATATTAGTACAGTACATACAGTACGTTCATAGTATCTAATAGTTCATCTTTCTAACGGATATCCATTTTAAACACCCTTGACGCAATTTTAGGATTGTTTCTTGGAATAGGAATAGTTTTCTTCAGGTGGCGCTTTTCGTTTTATAAAGAAGCCATCATCTCGGCTCTTCATTTACGGAACGTGTGACTTTATCCACACAGCGTGTGCGGAATGAATGAGCCTTGCATGGTGCATAGTCAGAAGATTCCTTTCTTGAACAAATTCCGGAAAAGATGGATGCCACTTACTTAGTGTCAAACGCAAACAAACTTCATTCCACTTTAGATAATTGTCAGAACATAGGTTTAAGTTTCAATGACGACTCCCGACATCACAGTAATTACAATGACCGTAAGTTCACTGACGTCAACAGCGTTTTCAATCTGTTTAAATCATTTCCGAATGCTAATTCAACTAATTGAATAGTAAAAATCACTGGACGCAAATACCTTACCTAATCTGATTATGTTCTATTGTTTGTAAAGGATTAACTATTGATCGCTAATTTGATACTTAACGGCCTTTAATCCCCCGATCCCAACATGCTCTTTGGCACTTGTCACGTGACCACAGCAGCAAAAGTAAACATTACAGTGTCACGTTCCCAATAATGCTAAGAGCGTTGGCGTGACATTGTAAAGTGATCAGTGTCACTTTGCGTTTGGCCACGTGGTATTGGAAAAGGGGTATTAAACGTGATTTGTAGAGAGCCTAACATCACTGTTCTCTGGCAATTGAACATACAGCTAATGTTCATTCTTGTAACCGGATAACTCATACAACTAAGCAGCATGAAGAGATGTGAATCTGAGCTCTGTCTCCTTGACAGCGACCTCTTAGAAAACACAACAAACACGTACAACAGAGATAGCGAAGGTGAGTTAATACTCAATGGTATTATGTATGTAATCGATAAAGTCAAATAAATGAACACATAATATTCGTTGTTCCGTTCAGTATGCTCTCAGCATAAAAAATACTCGTTCTGAAGAAAACATAAAAAACTTCATCTTTTATATGAAACTATGCAAAGCTCTTTCAAAATATATCTTACTTGCGCATGAAACAAGTGTCCATGTCAAATGAATGGCTAAATTTATGTAACATTTTCAGATGCAAGATCGTCGGGCTATGAATCGTGTGACTCATTCACCCAGGCCCCGTCACCACCTTCAACTCCATCCTCCAAGGTCAGAGCCTCATCTAGCGGCCACAAGGAGGTAATGATGTACAGCAACATGGCCGACCTGTCAGAAAGTCTACAGTACATCACTAGTATGCCGGAGTTGTGTGACGTCACTTTTCTAGTTGGCAACCGGCAGCTTCCCATTCATGGAGTTAAAGCAATCCTGGCTACCAGGAGCAGGTAAATATCCCATACAACTGAAACACGCCAATTGTCTTTTATTCGGAAACTTTTAGAAGTAAACACCGTGATAAATGTGTGTATTCCAAATTAAAGCACATGCAACAACATGATTATCTGGCAGTAAGGATTTAAGAAAGTAGCGATGCTTCAACACATACATTTCATCCCTGCCCTTTTATTATTATTCACACGTGCAGATATGAGTTTCCTATGAGATCTGTAGATGAAAATATACATAGTTTCCCTTCATCTTTCCAGGGTTTTCTATCAGATGATCTTGCATCACCAGAGGAAGGTCACAGAGTCGGTGAAACCTAAATCTCGACTGAGGATGAGAGCCAAGTCGTCAGCTGTCAATCTGCACAGCAAACTCCAGATCCCAATCCCAGACTACGACCATGTTGTCTTTTCCAGTCTTCTTAACTTCTTACACTCCGGCCGAGTTCGAGTACAACTTGGAACAGTCACAGGTGAGCAGTCAAATGTGTGTGGAGGAAGAAAAAACTTTCTGTTTATGACATTCGATATTGAAGCGTTTACTCCTTTACTGTAATAAACTGTAATATCAACAGTGAATTATAATATGTTATTATGAATATAACATCCTCATATCAATGGCTGCTTCTTATTTGAACAGGTTTATTCTGTGCTGCCATAGAATTTGGACTGAAGGATCTGCAGAAAGCATGCTGGGACTTCTTAAAACGGTGTGAAGGTGAAGATCAGAAGAGGGCTTTGATGACGTCAACACAACACTATCTTAAGAAGAAGGGAGCTCAGAAAATCTTGTCCCAAGTGTGCAGGTTGTGATTATTTGAGGACCGTAATTGCTCTGGTTTCCTATAATATATCTCTTGGACACAGTCAAACTGTGGAACCATTAGTGCTTCAATATACATTTTCAACGACTGACCATTGGCTGGCATTCCGACGGCCCTGGCGAAGCTGATCAAAGTGGAAACTGACGTCACTTCCTAGTGATTGTTAACTGACACACAATACCAGAGATGGAGATCCCTGATTTTTCTTACACAACGAGAAAATCAGACAGCGAGTTGAACTTAATGCTCCTTTAAATAGTATGTCGGTTATTCTTCCGTGTGTCAGCTTAGTGAGAGACGAAAATTTGAATTGACGCAGAAGATATCACTGAAAGGAATATGATCGGAACGAAGCTTCGACCAGAGTGTCCTGGCACGTCTAAGGGATGTAACTATGCATAGAGAACTATGGCGTAAATATTACTGTGTAACACTACTTAATATTGTAAGTCTCTTAGATTGTACATGTGCTATATATGTATTGTTATCCCTTTATGGGAGTTGTTCGTTTTGTTCTTGTTGTCAAATGCAAATAAAATTTAAATCAAATCATGATCCTGTGTTGTCTGCCTGATGTTCCATTTCAGGAAGACCTGATGTCAATATTGTCTAGTTATTCTATTACGTGTGACAATTTGACATTCTTCAGGAAAAGGAATATTTTTCTAATTCTTTAATGTTTTCCTAGAGTTTATTATCACATCTTGAAGCCACTACTTTATAATTGGCCATTACATGCCTACGTACCTGAAGGTAACTAGGGCCTTGTCTGTTCTGATAGCAAAAGGCTGGATTTAACATGATAAGCGCGCAGTAGAAAGAAAAATAGTAGAAATGAAGGAATAGCAGAGAAGTAAATGGATAGTGGTTGATGAGAAAGTGATGAATTTGATCAAATATGCTGCTTCTATCCCATTTGGACAGAACAAATATCTACATTTTACACATTGCAAGCATATAAAATACCGGCAAAAGATCATTTGGTCCAGCGCTGGAGATATTCTCTATTTTAAACAAAACCGCTGCAATAAATAGTACAGCATTATCATTCAACCGTATCTCATCTAACATGCGTCAACTTTTGTAACTGCATTACTCTGAACCTTCATTCCAGTTGTATCGTTTTTCTCACCACAAATCTGCAATTTCTCTCACCGTTCATCATTTGGAAATGATTAAATAAACATGTTCTATCAGTTCATTTTCCCGACATGCATGTATCTCATCCAATAACAGATATAAATCGAACACGCCAAGTTTTTGACTAAATGTAAACTATTTCCATACACAACATATTTAATTCAAATGCCAGAAAAGACATGTAAATCTGTCAAAAGACGGGGAAAAGAGGCAGTGAACATGATATCATGTTGGTAGACATGGAATGGTTTCAGAAGTGATGGAATTCGAATATGATTAGTAAACACAACATGGTGCCAGTAGTCACAGAGATGTTCCTTGTATCTGTTCATATAGAACAAGATATCCGTTATCATTAATTAATGCTGTACTTGGAAGATGTAGACTGATTAAAATACAGAATAACTGTGTTTGGTCCCCAAAAACTATCCGATGCCGATATTCAGTCACTTTTTAAGAATATTCTTTATCGCATACAGCAGTTGTTTTATGCACCCGACATGCTATGGAGAACAATCATATCATTATTATCTGTATTATTTGTCAATACCCTCAATAATATAATCACTGTACAATTCCAACCATGCACAATATTTTCCAATTGTTATGATTGAGCAATAACTGCAAATTAATAATTTCCGCTGAGTTTCTTCACACACTTTATTCAGTATATAAAGTATATGCTCTTTGTGTCAGACTTCAATACAAAGTGCATCTATGAAATGTAACTGTTGTTTGAACATAGAGAAAATATCCATTTCACAAGAACACAAATACATTTACAGTGTTAAACAGATTGTTATAGATTATAGGATATCGGGTGTATGATAACCTTATTAGGTTCTATAACATCGCCATCAACTCAAAAGCATGTGCATAGGGAAACTGTTGCACTGGATTTAATGATCTTAAACTTATCAATTGAAATAGACAAGTTGATCATCCACACTATCTTCTTATCAATTACCAGTTGTTTTAGTTAACTACGGAAACAAACTCACTTGTGTATGTAATGAGATATTTGGTAAGAAAACAAGCACGTTTCTTACCATATTGATTTCTTACTTCTTCAATAAATACGGATTAAACATATTAGTACAGTACATACAGTACGTTCATAGTATCTAATAGTTCATCTTTCTAACGGATATCCATTTTAAACACCCTTGACGCAATTTTAGGATTGTTTCTTGGAATAGGAATAGTTTTCTTCAGGTGGCGCTTTTCGTTTTATAAAGAAGCCATCATCTCGGCTCTTCATTTACGGAACGTGTGACTTTATCCACACAGCGTGTGCGGAATGAATGAGCCTTGCATGGTGCATAGTCAGAAGATTCCTTTCTTGAACAAATTCCGGAAAAGATGGATGCCACTTACTTAGTGTCAAACGCAAACAAACTTCATTCCACTTTAGATGATTGTCAGAACATAGGTTTAAGTTTCAATGACGACTCCCGACATCACAGTAATTACAATGACCGTAAGTTCACTGACGTCAACAGCGTTTTCAATCTGTTTAAATCATTTCCGAATGCTAATTCAACTAATTGAATAGTAAAAATCACTGGACGCAAATACCTTACCTAATCTGATTATGTTCTATTGTTTGTAAAGGATTAACTATTGATCGCTAATTTGATACTTAACGGCCTTTAATCCCCCGATCCCAACATGCTCTTTGGCACTTGTCACGTGACCACAGCAGCAAAAGTAAACATTACAGTGTCACGTTCCCAATAATGCTAAGAGCGTTGGCGTGACATTGTAAAGTGATCAGTGTCACTTTGCGTTTGGCCACGTGGTATTGGAAAAGGGGTATTAAACGTGATTTGTAGAGAGCCTAACATCACTGTTCTCTGGCAATTGAACATACAGCTAATGTTCATTCTTGTAACCGGATAACTCATACAACTAAGCAGCATGAAGAGATGTGAATCTGAGCTCTGTCTCCTTGACAGCGACCTCTTAGAAAACACAACAAACACGTACAACAGAGATAGCGAAGGTGAGTTAATACTCAATGGTATTATGTATGTAATGGATAAAGTCAAATAAATGAACACATAATATTCGTTGTTCCGTTCAGTATGCTCTCAGCATAAAAAATACTCGTTCTGAAGAAAACATAAAAAACTTCATCTTTTATATGAAACTATGCAAAGCTCTTTCAAAATATATCTTACTTGCGCATGAAACAAGTGTCCATGTCAAATGAATGGCTAAATTTATGTAACATTTTCAGATGCAAGATCGTCGGGCTATGAATCGTGTGACTCATTCACCCAGGCCCCGTCACCACCTTCAACTCCATCCTCCAAGGTCAGAGCCTCATCTAGCGGCCACAAGGAGGTAATGATGTACAGCAACATGGCCGACCTGTCAGAAAGTCTACAGTACATCACTAGTATGCCGGAGTTGTGTGACGTCACTTTTCTAGTTGGCAACCGGCAGCTTCCCATTCATGGAGTTAAAGCAATCCTGGCTACCAGGAGCAGGTAAATATCCCATACAACTGAAACACGCCAATTGTCTTTTATTCGGAAACTTTTAGAAGTAAACACCGTGATAAATGTGTGTATTCCAAATTAAAGCACATGCAACAACATGATTATCTGGCAGTAAGGATTTAAGAAAGTAGCAATGCTTCAACACATACATTTCATCCCTGCCCTTTTATTATTATTCACACGTGCAGATATGAGTTTCCTATGAGATCTGTAGATGAACATATACATAGTTTCCCTTCATCTTTCCAGGGTTTTCTATCAGATGATCTTGCATCACCAGAGGAAGGTCACAGAGTCGGTGAAACCTAAATCTCGACTGAGGATGAGAGCCAAGTCGTCAGCTGTCAACCTGCACAGCAAACTCCAGATCCCAATCCCAGACTACGACCATGTTGTCTTTTCCAGTCTTCTTAACTTCTTACACTCCGGCCGAGTTCGAGTACAACTTGGAACAGTCACAGGTGAGCAGTCAAATGTGTTTGGAGGAAGAAAAAACTTTCTGTTTATGACATTCGATATTGTTGCGTTTACTC